GCCTACACCAAGGACCACATAGCAATCCCAGAGACCTTGGACAGTCTCACAGCTCAGCACTTGGCTCTGTCCAACTACAAATTCCAAAAGACAGTCATGGCTAGCCAGGAAAGACAGCCCAATGCCTTGTTCTATCAAAGTTAATAGCAGAGCAGCCAGCAACTCACCTGATAGAGTCCAGCCAGTGGTCTCAAGGGATTGCAGGGCAGAGCCAGCAGCAGGTTCCACGGAGCCTCAGAGCACGGGATATGGGCCAGTCCAACTAAGGGAACCAACACCAAGGTCTGGCTGCTGGGCTCACTGCCAGAATCTCAGGCCTGGCACCATCAAAGAATACTGCACAGGCCAGAAGAAATGGCTGTTTCTTCAAATGCACAACAACCACAGCAAAGACTCAAAGATTCTAAGCGATCCCGAGTACACACAGAATGCCCTCAGGACAGATCGTGTTGGGCCACAAAGTAAATCTTATCAAATGGAAAAGGATTAAAGACATGTTGGTTATCTTTTTGGCTCACAAAAGCATTCAACTAGAAATAAATAACAGAGATTCTGGAAAATTTACAAAGAGATGCAAATTATGTTTACCAGTAGATAACAGAAGAAATCAAAAAGGAAATTTAAAAAAATACCTTGAGACAAATGAAAAATGAAAACATAACATACCAGGACTTATGGGATGTATAAAAGCAATCCTAAGAGAAATTCATAGTGATGAACATCTATATCAAAAAAGATTTCAAATTTTCTAAAATACTGTAAAAAGAACAAAGTAAGCCCAAAGTTAGCAGTGGAAAGAAATAATATAGTTTTTTGGATATGACTCCAAGAGCCTGGGAAACAGTAGCAAAAATAGACAAATACAGTTGCATCAAACCAAAAACCTTTTGTACAGTAAAGAAAACAATCCAAAAAGAAGACAACTCTGTTGGTGGAAGTGCAGACTGGTGCAACCACTGTGGAAATCAGTATGGAGATACCTCAAAGAACTAGGACTAGAGGTCCCATTTCACCCAGCTAATCCCCTGCTGGGGATCTTCCCAAAAGAATTAAAAGAATCATACCACAGCGATACATGTGCTCCCATGTTTATAGCGGTACGGTTTGTAATAGCTAAAGCTTGGAAACAGCCCAAATGCCCATCAACTGGAAACTTGATAAAGAAGATGTGGGTGTTTTTTATAAAATGGAGTACTACTCAGCCATAAAGAACGACAAACTAGAGACATTTATAACTAAATGGATGCATATTGAGGCCATACTCTTAAGTGAAATAAATAGGACACATGTGTAAATACCGAATAGTTTCTCTAGTGTGAGAAACTGAAAGTGTAAATAAGGATTAAAATGATTAAAATGAATAATTGATAATTTGAAATAGGAAGAAAAGCTCCAAAGGGGTAGGGGAAGTGGGAGAAGAAACAGAAAGGAAAGAAGGGAAAGGAAAAATTATGAGAAAAGAAAAAAATGGAAATGAAGTCTTTGTAAATAGGGAAGGGTAGAGGGGGTGAAGGGAGCACAGGGAATGGGGAAAAAATAAGAACCAAGATACATCATGTACAGGTACAAGCACCCAGTGATAAATGTAAATGTATTGTATACCTAAAATGGACCAATAAAAGAATTTAAGCCCCCAAAAAAGACAACTCAGAGTGGACAAAAACATTTCCAACCCATACGTCAGAAAAGGAGTTGGTATCCAAAATATATCAGAAAGTCAAACAACTCAATAGTTAAAACAGCCATAAATTATACAATTTTAAGATGGGTAATGGACCAGAATAGACATTACTCAAAAGAAAACATATAAATGGCCAAAAGGTACATGGAAAATGTTCGACATCACTAATCCCTGGGGAAATGTAAAATAAGGCTATAATGACATTATCATTTCACACCTTTTAGAATGGCTGCTATAAAAAAATGTAAAGATACACACTGGCAAGAAAATGGAGCACTTGTACATTACTGATGAGAATGTAAATAAGTATAGCCAATATTAAAATCATTCTGGAAATTCCTCAAAAATCTAAAATTAGAACTGTCATATGGTATAGCAAACCCCAGTGGGTATATACCCAAATGAATTGAAATCAATATGTTGAAAGGATATCTTTGTTCCCATGTTTATAATAGCATCATGTATAATAGCTAGGATAATCAAAATGTGTTCACCAATGAATGGATGGATTTTTTTTAAATGCAGTATATACACTCATACACATAGAATCCTATTCTGCCTTTAAACAGAAGGGAATTCTGTCATGTGCAACAACATAGATAAACCCTGAGCACATTATGCTAAGTATGTCAAACACAGAAAGATAAATACATCATGACGTCACTCATATGTGGAATCTGAAACACCCAAACTCACAGAAGCGTAAAGTGATGATTACCAGAGGCTGGGGATAGGATGAGAAGTTATTAGACAGAGGGTGCAGAGTTTCAGACAGACAGAGGAACAACTTTTGAGATCCATTGAATAGTAGAGTAACCACACTCAACAATGTGTATTTCAAAACAACAAAGGTGAATTTCAAATGTCTTATCACAAAAAAGAGGTAGATGTGTTAACTATCTTGATTTAATAATTTCAGATTTTATATATATAATATCATTGTATGCCCCTAAATGTAACAATTATAATTTGTCAATTATAAATAGTAATAAAAATCATTAAAATAAAATAATTAGGAAAACCAATCAACATGGATCAGCATGGAAGCAAACAATGCAACTTTTTAATATGATTTTAAAACAATACACAGATAGTACCACAATATATTTTTCCTGGTAAAAGATGTTAATTAAGTCTAACAAACAGGAATTCTTATCAGAACTGAAACCAAACAACTGTTCTACCTACAAATTATTTTTCTTGCTCACTAGACATAAAGTGCCCAATATATAGTGCTTATGTGTAAACAGAATTTATTCCATTTAAGGATTCAGTTTTTCTACTTAATATCTAAGGGGGGAGTGAGTTTAAAATAATGGGTTTATTTAGTCTTTAAAATATCCCATCACTTAAAAATAAGAACATTTTCAAAAATCTATTAATAGCATCGGTTGCCGCAAAAATTCAACCTCAGTAGACTAATTTTATCAAGAAAAGTCTTACATTTTAATCTATATTTTTAAGGGCCACACCATTTGAATGTTAAAGTGGGCACAGACTGATTTTTTTTCAAAGTGTGGCTATGTTAGCACCATTATAAGTTAGATACTCTAGTCTGTAAGTTGGCATCACAAGTTTCCTGGGAGAAATTGCTTGTCCATCATTGACACCTTCACGATATTCATCTCCAGTGTGGCATAGAAAAGAAGCGCATCATCTAAAGTGATTCTCCATCTATCCACAGGTTCTTGCCCACGTGTTAAATAAAATGCCAAAGTGAAAACTTCTCAGAAATGAAAATGAAAAGCGAGAAAGCCAAAAAGTGACCTCCCAATGTAACGTTTAAAATGAAATGTGCTTATTTGACAGATCTGCGCCTATGCCTACCTCCGAGGCTGGCTTATTAGAATTTTCCACGCACGGAGACCTTCCCCACTCACCAGCTCTCTCCTCCATATTAACCTTTTCCCTGAAGCAAGACCGTGCCATCACAGCCAGATGCTGAAGGAAGCTTCCTGAGATTAACAACGGAAGGGACTTTGCCTCTCTCGTCACATCAACTGAGCGGCTCCCCTTCGCTGCTCACCAAGGAACTGTAAGGGATGGAGCAAGAGGCGATGGGCCCAACCCTTAGCCTCTCTGGGAAAATTGGACAAATACAAATGAATCCGTGTCCTCGGCTATGCCGTGTGTTTAATAGTTACTAAGCGTGAACAGCGTGATAGCCATCCTGAGCACGGCAGGAAAAGCATTAGTCTACTTCCTTCTACAGAGAAGAAATGTCAGTAAATCTGTATTGTTTTGAAAAACAAGACAAATGATGATGATTACATGTGTGAAAATATCAAATATGTAGAGTCTTATTTTTGCAGCAGAAAATGAAGAATTCTATAAATAACCTATTGATATTTTATCTGAATATAAATTAGAAAATACAAGTTTGAGTAAAGTGTTTGAGTAAAGTGACCTCTTATAATAGAACTATAGAACAGAAATTAGAAATAGAACTAGCCTCCAGATAGTTGATTAAGTAGCGATATTAGCCAACAACAAAGCCTTGATAGCTTTACGAAACTGTTTATCAGAAGTGATTGTATGCAAGAATGACACCAACCTCCATTGCTGAAATGTAGCCTCCCTTCCAATAGTGCAACAGAAACGGCAGAAACCTACAAGCTACTATGCGTGTCCTTTTCGGTAAATTGTTTCCTGTTAGTTAATGATATTTCAGGCAGCAAGTTGATATTCCAAGTTGGGCATGTTTCAACCCATGACAGTTGGCTTTAATGATTTTTTACAATACAATGGAGGTTCAAGATCACACAACTATTAAATAATTCACCCAGGATTCAAAAGTAGGTCCGGTACTCTCTGAAGTTTGTGCTGTTTCTACTGTTTTGAAATAAAAAACCACGGGCCAGAGTGTGTTACTTAGTACCAACTCACTTGGAAGCAGCACCTTATAAGTGAAAATAAGATCTACACACTTAAGGTAAAATTCGTTTCAAGTATTTCCATATTAAATTCACAACTCAGTTCACCATTTCCATCAGAGCATTTTGCATTAGTAAATTTCTTTTGAATTTTCCTCCACTAACATTAAAAGCTACATTCCTGCTTCTCATTTTTCCTTTCTAATCACTAAAAACTGACTTAGAATATATTCTATCCAGTTAAAATTTTAGCTATTTATTGTGAATTAAAGTAATTTTTGTGCACGAAGGCATCTTTATTAAACAATATATTTTAGTTTCTGCTTCACACTAAAGGCATATGAAGTGAAATCCAGACAGGGCTAGGAAGCCAGCTGCATCTTCATACGCCCCTGTTCTGCGGATGTACAGGGAATGGAAACTGGAGGAGGGAGAAGGGCACTTACATTGCTGTTCATCGCTGCTGTCCCCACACTGATCTGTGAAGTCACAAACATTGTCAGGGGGAAGGGAGACCCCACTGCCACAACGAAAAGCTTCTGATCCTTGCTGACCCAGCAGAGACACAAAAACAGAAGAAATCCAAAGGAAACAAAAAGCTTCGTTCAGTGAGAACGCTAACATTTTCAGCCAGGGAGAGAAACCTTACTTGGTGCTGTGTATTGAAGATCAGGCAGTTAAAATAAGTGAGTTCATAATTGGAAGTATCTTTTTATTTTCTCGCTTGTTTGCCAGATCTTCTTCTTAGGACTGGATGCTACTAGTAACTGGCTGTAGCTCTTAACACAAATGACTCTTTGGGCAGCTACTCTTTCAGAGGAGTGCCTTTAGAAAATATTTAACTCGAGTAATTGCACTATTTCTGCAGCTAGCTAAACTTAGGTGTTTATTGCCCTGTGTACACCATGTTTAAGCAATGTAAGCTTTTATGACCATGCTATCCCTTGAAAGAATAAACTTAAGAAAGGGCAAGCAAAGGGGAGGGAGTATAATAAATCATAAATTACACAGAAATGTTCTCCCTTAATTCCTATACTCATTTAATCTCATTCATGTAATTTAGAATGTTATTGTTACTAAAACATACTCAAATATTTCAGGTCCAGTTGTTACAGCTGCACAGTGAAAATGAAATATTTATGCTGCTTAATTCAATGGAAACCTCACATTACTTTTTGAGATACTGTAAGAATCATAGGCCTTTAAAAACTGAAGAGACATCAAAGATTATTATATTACATTATAAATCACATAAACTGGCCCCAAGTAAATGATAGGATATATGTGAAAAAACATAGTAAGTTGATGGTAGAAACTAGAATTCAGATATCTCGGGCTGGGGATTTAGCTCAGTGGTTTCGCTGCCTGCTGCGCAAGCTCAAGGACCTGAGTTCGATCCCCAGTACCAAAAAAAATACAGATATCTTGCTGCATGTAGTACTTTCTCTCTTTCTCTCTCTCTCTCTCTCTCTCTCTCTCTCCCTCCCTCCCCCTCCCTCCCTCCTCTACAACATCATGGTATATACCTTAAATATACACAAGAAAAAAGTACATTTTAAAAATAAAGCAAAATGGCAAAATGGCAAAACGATAAATGTATCTAATTTAAAAAGAAAGATCTCACTTAGTAATTTGCTTTATCCTTTTAAGTATATGATTCAAATACTATTAAAATTGTTCTGTATCCATACCCTATGCCCCACCAAACAGCAGGATTATGAATTCTCCATTGTTGCATCCCCAGTTACTAATACATTTCCTGGCAGGTAGTAGTTACTAAAATATTTCAACGCGATTAAAAATTAAATGAAATTAATGAAGGGTTACAATAATTCCAACTTTTGCTAGGAATATGTGAGTACTAGAATAAAAATGTAAAAATCTAAAATGCTACTTTAAAAAGGACATACAGCTCTTGTATTCAGTGTAGCTTTCCCATTTTTAACTCTTAGATATTTTTTAAAGACTCTTTAGATTTTGAAACCATAACTTTGTATTACAGTAAAAACACAGTGCACTATCTTCCAACAGTAAATATATCACATCAAATCTCATTCAGGTCTGCATTTTTTAAAAGGAAGAAAGAAAGAGGAAGGAAGGAAAATGAAGTAAGACAAAGTAGAAGGAAGGAGAAGAAGAAGAGAGCAAGAGAGTGAGGAGACATGAGAAAATAGAACCTGTCACTTCTGTACCCCGGATCTAAATCCTGGTCTCACAACATTTTAGCATGTTCATATTTTCCAATTTGAAATATTATTAATATTTTGTTGCTGTTATAGTTCAGCTGTTTATGGCACAGTTTCAGATAGTAAGGTGCATTATTAACTGTTGCTACCTACTAAAAATAACATTACCTGATAGTGTATCGAGTGTCATTCATCGTGGAGATAAGAAATGAACAGGAATAGCGGTGCTCGCGTACATCAGTCTAACCCAGGAGAGTCGTATTTTATAATACAAATTCTCTCTTGTTTTCAAAAGATGAAGTTAATTTCAACTGCTAATACCTTTGTCACTTTTTCTCTAGAGCTACCAGAAGGAACAATGAAGAGAGGGATGATTATAGTGCCTAGGGTGGTTTTTATTCAATATATCAGAAAAAAGAAAAAGCCTTGTTGGAGCCCAGGGCTCCAACATTATGCGGGTAGTTTCATCTATGATGTCTCATTCAGTCTAAAACTTTTTATAGTATTCTCTACTGTTACTGTAAAAGCCATCACTCGAGTACAGTAAGCTCTTGTCTAAGATCACACAGTGATGGAGCTTGAGTGTGAACCCTAGATAGAAAAACAAATGCCTGCACACTTGTAATTGAATTACATTGACAGTGATCATTGGGTGAGACATTCAAAAGGCAAAATGTTCAAATGCAAAAGGATAAATATCTTAAACATATGGTTTTTCTCTTTTTAGCAAAAATGAACTCATACTCTATATTAAATATTGGACATAGGTAAAACCAAGGTAAGGTATAGATAGTACTCAATAAGGCAATAGCCCTGACCTTAGAATTTACAATTTGTGAAGGGTATATAAATGTGTTTACAACAAACACACACAAATTAATTCTACTTCTTGCACAAGTAGATTACATTTTCTTTCTTAAAAAATGAACCTCTCTAACTACATCCATTTCATTGAATGGAACAGAATACAAAATACTTTTCAACGTACAATTAAGTACTGAACTTGCAAAGATAAAGCAGATCTCACAGGTTGAAAGGGAGATGAGAAGATTTACAGTTGATGGAACAGTTTATTACTAGAAGTTAATCCTGAAGAATACAGTATTTTAAGGAAAATCCTAGAATTAACACAAATAATCACTGAAAGAACATATGAGACACAAGAAGAAATGATGAGCAAAGACTGAAGCCACATTTGCAGGTAAAAGAAATGCAGATCCCCAAATCCTAAAAGATAAACTTGGGAAGGTTATAAAATTTGTGTGATCTTCATAAGACAGAGAATTAGAACTAAATCTTCACATGAAGCCAGAGGAAGAATTTGCTAAGAAAAACTTCCTGGCATCTTCAAAGACTCACCTCAAGATTCCTCATGGATTGTGGTCATTCAAACAAGAGCTCACAGTGGAAAATTAATTGCCACTCAGGAAGGAAGTTTCTGTGATAGAGAGCCAACACAAACAAAGAAGCAAAGGCAGAAATAGACATCCAAAGATTTTAAATTGCTTGTGTGTGATAGAGAATATAAAATACCTGTATATAAATATAAATAACTAATATTTAAGATTAAATTTTAATAAGCTCAAAAACATTAGCAAAAGTAGGCATGATTTTGTAATAGAATCATTAAAAATACAATCACTGAAAAGAAGAACAGTAGATGGTATGAGCAGAAAACATGAGAGATGAATACAGAATGTAGTGAACTGGACGATAAATCTGGATAAATTCTACAAAGGCAATATTGACATGTACAAAAAACATATAAAAATACTTTTAAGAAGTTGAAGCATATAATGACAAGGTTTAATATGTGACCAAAGAAACTTGTAATATGGATAAAACTAGTCAAACAATAATTTTCCTCTAATGATCAAGTTGCTGAATAAATAAAAAGAAATATTCAGCTAGTTACTTTATATCAAACAGAATGAGTCTGAAAAAAAGTTCTTAAATTCAAGTCAAAAGATAAAAACAATCATCTATAAAGGAAAACTACTTAGACTGTCAACTTCTCAACTATAATAACGTAAGCAGAAAGATAGTGGAAGAATATCTCTCTAGTGATAAGAAAAGCATTATTACTGCTCACTTAAAATGAGTAGCAACCCAAATGTTTACCCAGGATAGAAGAAAAAAATAAAGAAATGTTGGGACAAGTAAAAACAGTGAGTGTATTCCCAACAGCACATAAAAATGGATATGGTCTAAATTATAATCCCCAGAAGCATTCAGAGAAATAAAATACTAGTTCATAAAGCTATCTTCGATATATTTCAAAAAGTCAGGGTTAAGACGAATTTCTCTGACAGCAATGCCATGCAGTGCAACACCGGAAAATAAAAAAACTCTAGAAAAACATGAAAGTGGAAATTCTGAAAAACAAAAAGAAAATATATATAAGTGATATGGCTATGAACAGGTGCTACGGGACAGTGAGCCAGCTGCTTCCAGGATTTTGAGATTCCAGCACCTCCTCACGTCCAGCCTTGTGTATTCCATTTCCGCCTAAGATGGATGCTACTGGGCACAGTCAGATTTATGGCTTGGTGGATCAGATTACATTCAATTTAGTCCAAGCAGCTCCAGAGGCAGGGTCATTGGAGTCTCATGGTCAGGGGCTCAGTCTCTATCTGTTCCCAATAACTATTATTCAAGAGGAGAACAGCTATGTGCTGGCATTTTTCCACAGTCATATAGCTCAGCAATGTGATTCTCTTAAAGTTTGACACAGCCTTGCAGAGCTTATTAATCTTCCCCAGGTCCTCACGCTGTAGTCCTAAATTCAAAACCCTTACCTTGTTTTAGCACTCACACAGCTATGTGTGTTTGTAAACAGCTTCCTTTTAAAAATTAAAATAAGCCAACCAATTTTTCAACCTCTTTCTTGGAGGAATGAGAAGCAAGATGCAGCACACTGTCTTCCAGTTCAATTTATCTTCATTGCCATAACTTCAATAAAGTGTCAGACCCCTATGTCTCCCTAGGGTTTATCACCCACACTCTATGATATGAGTTTCACCCAGGCATCTGGGCAACCTGCTACTCCATACTTACCAGGTTCTGTCCAAATAACGCCATGTGCACAGTGCAGGGAATGTAGGCCCGTTCAATAATGAGTCCATCAGAGGCCTTCAAACCACATCGTAACTCAGAGCAAGATGATGCTTCGTAAGAAGACGTGTCATCTCAATTGAAAACCAAATATTTCTTGAACTCCCTGTTAGCTGGGTAAACCAAGCAATACTTTTCCCACAATGATTTTTACAGAGAAACTTATTTGTTTCGGTACAGAAACTGCATCTGGAGGAGCAGCTGTTATCAGAGTCACAATCTGATTTTTTCTTTATAACCCTCCATTATTTTCCAGGATTCATCCATCTTCTCCAAAGGACTAAAAAGCAGGTCCAGAAGGAATCACGCCAATGGAACACTAAT